TGATACCGGGTGGGGATACACGGGCGACGTGAAGGGGGGCGCGCGGGCTGCACGAGCTGCTGCGCGTGCATTCAGTGCGAGCCGTCGCACACGCCTGCTCGTGCGGCTACGTGCGGTTGCGCGTGCGGCTACGACTGTGCGTGCGCATGCGTATGCTGTGCGCTAGTGGGCTGGCGTGCTACGCACGTGGCAGAAAACGGGTGAGGCGCGGGTGAGAAAACGGGTGACGCGCGGGGCTAAACGGGTGACGCACGGGGCTACACGGGTGACACGCGGGGCTATACGGCTGACGCGCCGGGCTAAACGGGTGACGCGCGGGGCTAAACGGGTAACGCGCGGGGCTAAACGGGTGACGCGCGGGGCTAAACGGGTGATGCACTCAGGGCAGTGTGGGTGACCGGCGAGCTAGGGAGGGGTGGCAGGGCGCTTCGGGTATTAAGGGGCTATCTTCTAGGTGGGCCCGTAGAATCGACTAGCTCTATACCATATCGAGAGTTGAACGGGTGAAAAGATTGACTAAGGAAAAACGAGATACAAGAGGATATAGCTAACCCTAGGAATATGAAATGGTACACCTAGACTAACATAAACTAAACATATAAAATATATGTTGACAAAGCGGCCGCCGAGTTCTCCGCCTGTCTCAAGGCTCGTCTCGTTGCTAGAGGCTTCAGTCAGCGTGAGGGAGTTGACTTCTTCCAGACCTTCTCCCCCACCCGGAAGATGACCACTCTTCGGGTGCTGCTGCATGTTGCCGCTCAGCGTAACTACGAGCTTCACTCTCTTGACTTCAGCACAGCCTTCTTACAGGGCAGCCTGCACGAGGAGATCTGGCTGCGCCGCCCACCTGGCTTCACTGGGTCGTTCCCTCCTGGTGCCCAGTAGAGCTTCCGGCGGCCAGTCTACGGTCTCCGCCAGGCACCTCGTGAGTGGCACGACACATTGAGGACGACACTTGCGGCTCTTGGGTTCGCTCCTTCCACTGCTGACCCGTCGCTGTTTCTGCGCACCGACACTTCGTTGCCGCCGTTCTACATCCTCGTGTACGTCAACGACTTGGTCTTTGCCACTGCTGACACTGAGGCTCTCGCCCTGGTGAAGTTGGAGCTGCAGAAGAGACACACGTGCACAGACCTGGGTGAGCTGCGTAGTTACCTTGGCTTGCAGATCACCTGGGACAGAGCACGCCGCACCATCACACTGACTCAGTCACACATGGTGCAGCAGGTCCTTTAGCGCTTCGGCTTCACCTGGTCCTCGCCACAGTCCACTCCACTCGCTACAGGTCACTCACTCTCATCTCCACCTTCGGACGAGTCCGTAGAGCCGAGTGGTCCGTACCCAGAGCTAGTGGGCTGCCTCATGTACCTGATGACCTGCACTCGACCTGACCTTGCGTACCCTCTTGGCCTTCTGGCTTGCTACATGCCATAAGAGGGTACTGCGCTACCTGTGCAGTACATCGGGCATGGGGCTCGTGCTTGGAGGACGGGGTGACGTTGTCCTCACTAGACACTCTGACGCGTCTTGGGTTGACGACCTGGCTACGCAGCGGTCGTCGCAGGGTTACACCTTCAGCCTTGGCTCCGGCTCTGTTTCTTGGCGGTCTACATGCTCGTCTTCTGTTCTTAGCTCCAGTTGTGAGGCTGAGATATACGCCACAGCCATGGCTGCACAGGAGTTGCGCTGGCTCACCTACCTGCTGACCGACTTGGGAGAGAGGCCTCGTTCTCCTCCAGTTCTGTACGTCGACAACAAGGCTGCCATTGCCTTGTGTCAGGACCACAGACTGGAGCACAGAACAAAGCACATCGCTCTGCGCTACTTCCTTGCTCGAGAGTTGCAGCAGCGTGGTCAGCTTCGTGTCATTCACGTGCCCACCCGGGCCAACACAGCTGATGTGTTCACCAAGGCCCTTCCGGCTGGTGATCATCAGCGCCTCTGCACTGCTCTAGGCCTGGTGCCTACGTTTCCTCACTTGCTGTAAGCTTTACTTGTACTGTGATCTATATAAATACGTGCATGCTTGCTCTTGCTAGGTAGTGATCACTGTACTGTTGTTGTTGCATATATACCTCTGCATGTGAACTGGCCTTGTGGCCCTTTGTTTGTGCTCAGTGTGTGTGGTGACGTTGTGATCCACCCTGAGCTTGCTTTGCTTTTCTTGACTGGTCTTATGACCCCTTGCTCTCCCCCACTTTGCCTATGGGGGTGTGTCAAATTATATGCATGTTATATATGTGTAGGCTGTAGTGGGGTAGCCAATATGGGGTATAGCCCCTTTAGGGTTTCATACTTGTACCCAACTTTGACCTAGTTCATTCATTCGTGCTAGTCTTTCTGACAAACACTCCTCTCCCGTTAACAATCTGCTCCTCCAGCTGGCCGATGTACAGGTCGTCGGTGACCTGGTACGTCGACGTGATGAACTGCCACGCCCGGTGGCCGGTGTCCAGGTGACTCCGGCATGACTTTAGGGCGATTTGCACCAAAGGCGAGCAGCACCGCGAGATGACCGTAAAGGTCAGCAGGTGTACGGGGCGCGAGATGCGTCTCCACATTGTCGTCGACGAAGCACATCAGCCCGGCCATCTCCAGCTGGGGCTCGATGGACTCCTTCCACTGATGAAATCGTGAGGACCAACCAGTGGAGCAGTGACGGCGACCTTGTCCGGCGAGAACTTGAAGTAGCCGTAGGTCGGCGCAATTTCGCCCGTCGTCACGTAGGTCGCCGACGCTGGCATCGCGCTGCTTCACTGGGGAGAGGTACGTCGGCCACTGACGACTCCATGTGAGCTACCCGCGGCCGTCGACCGCTACACTTCAATCTGCTACAACAAGGCGGCTACACAACGCTGCACCCATATGACAGCAATGCACCCACTTCGCAGGTGCTCACAATTGGTTGGCGTGCTGAGCCCCGTCATGTGCACAGCATAGACGCCAACCGACCACGTGCCTACGGCTGCACCTGATTTGCCACGTTGACCTCGGAATACCACCTCTGATGTGGGCTTTGCCAACACCACCTAAGCGACGATTGTGCACCTCTGCACGTCCCCGTCGCCCGAGCAACCTGATCAGCTGGGCAACCACCAAGTCGTCGTCGACTTGTGTGGCCGGTGTCGACCAGCTCCTGTGCGTGCCCGTCGACCACCCAGGTCGACATCCTTCAGCCGACTACACAACGCCTGCGTCCTCTTAAGTGGGCGTCACCAAGTCGGTGCCTCCTAGGTCGACCTCGCCAAGTCGACCACTCGAACCGGGCGCCCTCCAAATCGGTGCCACTGATTGGTGAGCCCTCCAAATCGGCGCCACTCTCAGCTCGCCCTTTGGGCCCGTCTGATCCATCAGAATTTGTTTTTTACCGTGTCTGATGTATCAGATATTTTCGAAATGCATGTCTGACTAGTTGAATGGGTTTCTCGACGCATTTGATTTGGACTTGACCAGTCACAACAGAATCACCCTCCTACAACAAATTCGGCCCGTCACATCAGATTCGCCCTCACCCTGACACAGAAGATTGGCCCCGTCACAACAATTTCTCCCTTGACACAGCAGATTCGACCCCTGGCACTAACAGATTCGCCCCTTGACGCGTCCGATATGCCCATTCACAACACAGCAACCTCTCCCTGTGGACGTGTCACAACTCGAATCCCATATTCACCCCTACATCATTGGATTCGGTATTAGATGAAACCAAAACCGGAACTTGATTGATCAGATAAACTGGAAAAATACTCTTATCAATTAAAATTTACAAAAATCAATTTCTGGATTATCATATGAACTCTAAAAAGTCTACATGAATGTAAGACAAACAATCACGAAATGTCTGATAGCGACGACCCTGCCTATCGCATCCAAGGTACTTAGGCTAACACAACCCGTTTTGGCGTTTAGGGTTGATCCTTTCCTAAATCGTATCCGTCCCGTTTGGCTCAAGTGGGAAATTTCAGAGGTTCATGTATTTTTTGGAGTCGTCTTGTGTGACCATTCTTGTGAATTTATGCCTACTGTTAGTGACTGAACGTTTTAACCCAATTACGAAACCCGTAAAACCCTTGGTACAGTGACTGCACGCGTTACCTGCCAAAATCGTTATCGCGTCCCATGTTCTTCACCAGCGGCATATTTTCCCTATGTTGGAATACTTTCGCAAAAACCCTCAACCTTGCAGGTTGAGTGTGAGGGGCTCGCCAGTCTTCGCCGCTCTAGCACGCAAAATACTGAGGTCTCTGCGGGCCCCTGTAACTGGGCTTGCACCACACGCAACCCGATTTTGCCGAACCGCATGATCTACAATATCCGTCAACTCACAGCCCATTTCACAAAGTTCCCTCCAATTCGCCCCGTTGCATCAATTAGAGTTTGACCTGCCAGATTTCAGCGTCTTCAGGGTTGACTTATCCGCCTGAGAACCAACCGTTATCAGGGAATGGGTTCATGTCGTTGCCATTTCCCTCCATTTTCTCGCATTCTGTTACGGGGTACTTTCCTGTTCAAGGGTAGTTTACCCTAAACAGACCCCCAACCTTATCCCAACCCTATCTTCATCCAATCCCTTTGGGATTTCCTAGATTTCCTTATGCCATGTGGCACTCTACCTTTCTAGCATTCCAATTCCTTGTCCCACAAACTACTTTCCAACATTCTCTCTTGTTCGCTATATAAACCTTGCTTGTACTTGCCATTATCAACCAATTCTCGTTCAACTCTTTCATTACTCAGTAACTCCTTCGCATATTTCGCCAATAGTTCTTTCGCCAAAGTCTTCCGCCGCGTTTCATCCTCGACTTAGTCGACCCCGCTAATTCTTTAGCGGACTTAGGCCGTCGGGCCTAACACTTGGTATCAGAGCCTTCGCGGGGAGCGACTTCCAACGAGCGACCGTCGACGACGAGACTACGACGTCATCGTCCCGCGGTGCCGACTTGCAGACTTGGAGTCGTCGAGCGAACATGGACGAATCCATGAACGCTTTCCCCCACGACATGGGCAACACGCTTGCCGAACTCATGCGCCAACTTCAAGAGTTGACGTTGGAAAATCGTCAGGTACGAGCTGAAATGCAACAGCTTCGTGAATTGGCTTCTAACCCCCATGGTCATGCCGCACCAACTCCTGCACCCACCACGTCGACTGGCGCGGAAGTGCTGCCGGAACGTCGCAGCGCACTCAAGCCGCAGAAGCCCGAGTCGTTCGACCCGAGCCAACGCGACGCGAACGTGCGGACGTGGCTCTTCATGCTCAACAACTACTTCGCCGCGAGCGGGGTGCAAGAGGCGGACGCGCAGCAGCGGATCGAGTACGCGGTGACGCTGCTGAGGGGCCCGGCCTTGGAGTGGTGGCGCCAACTTACGCAGACTGCTGTTAGAAGGGCTCAGACGGACGGGCATCAACAGGGCGTGGGGCATGCAGCTGCAACTTCGAGCTTAGGGAGTTTAGCTTTGGGTGTTACCACGGTTCCGACCACATGGGAAGGATTTGAAGCGGCGCTGAAAAGTAGGTTCGACTTGGTGAACGCCTCCGAAGCTGCTAGGAAGCGTCTGCGTCATTTCCGACAGATAGGAAACGTCCAGGAGTACACACGACGGTTCTTGAGCATCTGCAACGAAATAGACGACATCACGGAAGCAGAGATGCGCGATCGCTACCTCGAAGGGTTGAAGGCGGACATAGCGGAGGTTATAGCGATTCACGGGTTGTCCACCTTCGAGTCAGTAGTCGCAGCAGCAGAACGCGTCGACGCAGTACGAAGCCGACGGGGTCGTGACGATCGCGATAGGGGATACAGCAGACCGATCAACGACGCTCGATCGAGGGACGGACCATCGCCCATGGAGATTGGTGCAGTTAACAGTGACGGTTCACAGCGGACGGGTTTTAGGGGGAACTGTTACTACTGCAAAAAGCCGGGTCACATGAAGCGGGACTGTCCACAGTTCAAGGAGCAGCAGCAGGGAAACGGAAACCGCCAGTAGATAGCGGGTCGCTAGCTGGTGTGGAGGTTCCCGTACCCGCCACGTCTACCAACGTAGAGGAGACGGCCTTGCAGCAGTCATCTACGGAGACCTCGGTAGACACTGTTGATCGTCCAGTCGTGCTTCTAGGGAAGCTTCGCGGTGTACCTGTCAAGATCCTAGTAGACAGCGGAGCTAGCCACTCTTTCATTTCTTCGTCATTAGTTAGTCGTCTCCATCTCGAAGCAGATTCTGCAGTCAACTTCAAGGACGCGCGCATGGTAGATGGGACGCCACTCCACATAGGACCAATCATTCGCAAGTTGCGCGTAGTGCTAGGACCGATCACAGTTAGGCGTGACTTCGACTCTGCGACGCTGGACGGATACGATTAAATCTTTGGGAGAGATTGGCTACGGACGGTTAGCACTCAGTTCGATTGGGCTCAGGGAAGCTGCAGTGTCAAGGTAGACGGGGAGTTCCGGGAGCTGCCACAGTGGAGCGATGGGGCCACATCCTCCACAGCTATCATTAATGCTGTTCGTGTGCGACAGTTAGTGAAGCGAGCGGCACGGATCTTCGCGGTTTTCCTTAAAGACGAGGAAGCTGAGGAGGGGAAAGGAGGGAGTGCAACAGTTAGTGAGAAGGCGACTCTTCCTGCTGAGGTGAGTGCACTGTTAGCAGAGTTCGCAGACGTCTTCCCCGACGAGTTGCCCCCAGGGTTACCTCCCAGCCGAGCAGTAGACCATCGAATAGAGTTGGAGCCGGGGAGCAGGCCAGTAGCGAAGCCGCAGTGGAGGTTGAGTCCAGCAGAGACGGAAGAGTGACGCAGCAGGTTAGGCACTTCCTAGCACAGGGGTTCATTCAGCCATCTAGATCACCTTGGGCCACACCGATCCTGTTCGCGCCTAAGAAAGACGGAGGGTTACGGATGTGCATAGATTACCGCGCACTGAACGCCGCCACCGTCAAGAAGAGTAGAGGATCTTCTCGATGCAGTGCAGGGCGCTAGAGTCTTCTCCAAGATCGACCTTCGTTCGGGTTACCACCAGATTCGCGTAGTTCCAGAGGACCAGCACAAGACGGCGTTTCGTACGAAGCAGGGGTTGTACGAGTTTAGGGTTCTACCGTTCGGTTTGACCAACGCCCCAGCAACGTTCCAGACGCTCATGAACACAGTCCTCTCGGAGTTCCTAGGTTCGTTCGTCGTAGTTTACCTAGACGACATCTTGATATTCTCTAAGTCGAAAGAGGAGCACGTGCAGCACTTGCAAAGGGTCTTCGAGGTCTTGCGGAGGGAGAAGCTGTACGCGAAGCAGTCTAAGTGCGAGTTCTTCCTCCCCGAGGTCGAGTTCCTAGGACACGTCGTATCCGCTAGTGGCGTTAGGACCGACCCGAAGAAGATCGCAGCCGTACAGGATTGGGTGGCACCGACCTCAGTCAAGGAGTTGCAGAGTTTCCTCGGTTTCGCGAACTACTACCGCCGTTTCGTTCAGGGTTACGCTTCCATCGCTAGTCCACTCACCGACCTACTTCGGAAAGGCGTAGAGTACGTTTGGGGTCCAGCACAGCAGCAGGCGTTCGAGCAGATGAAGCAGTCGCTCACGTCTTCACCGATACTGACGTACCCCGATCCCACTCGCCCGTATGTCGTAGTGACCGACGCTTCCGATCAGGCCATTGGAGCAGTGCTTCTTCAGGACCAGGGACGCGGGTTGCAGCCGATCGCGTACGAGTCGCGTAAGCTGAGGGGAGCGGAGTTGAACTATCCCATACACGACAAGGAGGCGCTCGCGATCATCCATGCGTATAAGGTGTGGAGGTGCTACCTAGAGGGGGCAGATAGTGTTATACGCACGGACCACTGTTCGCTTCGTTTCCTCAAGTCGCAGCCGCAGCTGAGTCGTCGCCAGGCTAGATGGATGGAGTTCATGGAGGGGAGCTTTCATTACAGGATAGAGTACAAGCCAGGCGTGCGCAACCCAGCAGATCCGCTCACTCGCCCTAGTTGCCAGCTCGCTAGTCTCACAGTCACTGCCGGCCATCCACTTCTCACAGCACTCTTCGAGCACGGTTACACAGTAGATCCCGACTTCACACCGCAGCCGCCCGCAGGAGCAGAGGTGCAGGGTAGTGTCTACATACGGAAGGGCACAGCACGGATTTGGTTTCCAACCTACCGCCCTCTTCGACAGCTCCTTCTCTCAGAGGCACACGACGTAGTTAGTGCAGGGCACTTCGGAGCAGATAAGACGGCTAAGAACCTTAGTCGCACGTACTTCTGGCCAGGGCTTGCAGCAGACGTAGAGGATTACATTCGCTCGTGCGACACGTGTCAGCGTACGAAATCATCCCGCCAGCGCAAAGCAGGACTCTTGCAGCCGATTCCACCGCCCGACCGCCCTTGGCAGGTAGTTACCATGGACTTCATCATGGCTTTACCGCGCACAGTTAGGGGTCACGACGCCATCTTCGTGGTAGTGGATAAGTTTTCTCGAGCAGCGCACTTCATCCCCACGCACGGCCAGGTCACAGCAGAGGAAGCCGCGACGCTGTTCGTAGATAACGTAGTCCGACTGCACGGGGTTCCAGATTCGATCATTTCCGACCGCGACCCTAGATTCACCTCGAAGTTCTGGAAGCAGCTTTTCGCACTGTTTGGGAATCGCTTAGCTATGTCGTCAGCGTACCATCCAGAGACAGACGGACAGACTGAGCGTGTGAACCAGACTTTGGAGCAGATTCTTCGCAGCATCACGATGCACGACGCAGCAGCATGGGACAAGAAGCTGAGCATGGCAGAGTTCGCATACAACAACACGCATCACTCCGCCACAGGCATGTCACCGTTCTTCGCACTGTACGGTCAGCACCCCAATGTCCCCACTCGTGTCGATCTCACACCCACCGTCCCTCGTGCGGACAACTTCCACCAGCATCTCACCTTCATTCACGACCACGTGAGGAAGCACCTTGAGCTTGCAAATGCACGCATGGCACGCACCACCAACCGCAGTCGTCGTGAGGTGTCGTTCGCAGTTGGCGACCGTGTTCTTTTGGACAGCCGCAACCTCCGACTGCCACAGGACGGCAAGCTTCGCCCACGCTTCATTGGTCCATTTGTCATTGAGCGCGCACTTGGTCCAGTCGCATACCGCCTTCGCCTTCCTGCACATTTCCGCATGCACCCGTCATTCCACGTGTCTCTCCTTCGTCCATACACCGATCCCAACTCCACCTTCTCGGGCCGTGATCGCACTCCACTGCCGGTAGCTGTTGACACCGACGAGCCCGACTACCAGATCCAGCGCATCCTCAGGCACCGTCGCCGTCTCCAGGGGGGTGTCTCCTTCATCGACTTCTTGGTTCGTTGGCGTGGTTACGATGCAGCCGACAACAGCTGGGTCCCTTCACCCTCGCTGTCTCCTGACAACGCTTGCCTCAAAGCGTACCTTCAGTCTGCAGGCGCCGCGGACGTCGCCTCCTTGGGAGGGGGGTAGTGTTACGGGGTACTTTCCTGTTCAAGGGTAGTTTACCCTAAACAGACCCCCAACCTTATCCCAACCCTATCTTCATCCAATCCCTTTGGGATTTCCTAGATTTCCTTGTGCCACGTGGCACTCTACCTTTCTAGCATTCCAATTCCTTGTCCCACAAACTACTTTCCAACATTCTCTCTTGTTCGCTATATAAACCTTGCTTGTACTTGCCATTATCAACCAATTCTCGTTCAACTCTTTCATTACTCAGTAACTCCTTCGCATATTTCGCCAATAGTTCTTTCGCCAAAGTCTTCCGCCGCGTTTCATCCTCGACTTAGTCGACCCCGCTAATTCTTTAGCGGACTTAGGCCGTCGGGCCTAACACTTGGTATCAGAGCCTTCGCGGGGAGCGACTTCCAACGAGCGACCGTCGACGACGAGACTACGACGTCATCGTCCCGCGGTGCCGACTTGCAGACTTGGAGTCGTCGAGCGAACATGGACGAATCCATGAACGCTTTCCCCCACGACATGGGCAACACGCTTGCCGAACTCATGCGCCAACTTCAAGAGTTGACGTTGGAAAATCGTCAGGTACGAGCTGAAATGCAACAGCTTCGTGAATTGGCTTCTAACCCCCATGGTCATGCCGCACCAACTCCTGCACCCACCACGTCGACTGGCGTGGAAGCGCTGCCGGAACGTCGCAGCGCACTCAAGCCGCAGAAGCCCGAGTCGTTCGACCCGAGCCAACGCGACGCGAACGTGCGGACGTGGCTCTTCATGCTCAACAACTACTTCGCCGCGAGCGGGGTGCAAGAGGCGGACGCGCAGCAGCGGATCGAGTACGCGGTGACGCTGCTGAGGGGCCCGGCCTTGGAGTGGTGGCGCCAACTTACGCAGACTGCTGTTAGAAGGGCTCAGACGGACGGGCATCAACAGGGCGTGGGGCATGCAGCTGCAACTTCGAGCTTAGGGAGTTTAGCTTTGGGTGTTACCACGGTTCCGACCACATGGGAAGGATTTGAAGCGGCGCTGAAAAGTAGGTTCGACTTGGTGAACGCCTCCGAAGCTGCTAGGAAGCGTCTGCGTCATTTCCGACAGATAGGAAACGTCCAGGAGTACACACGACGGTTCTTGAGCATCTGCAACGAAATAGACGACATCACGGAAGCAGAGATGCGCGATCGCTACCTCGAAGGGTTGAAGGCGGACATAGCGGAGGTTATAGCGATTCACGGGTTGTCCACCTTCGAGTCAGTAGTCGCAGCAGCAGAACGCGTCGACGCAGTACGAAGCCGACGGGGTCGTGACGATCGCGATAGGGGATACAGCAGACCGATCAACGACGCTCGATCGAGGGACGGACCATCGCCCATGGAGATTGGTGCAGTTAACAGTGACGGTTCACAGCGGACGGGTTTTAGGGGGAACTGTTACTACTGCAAAAAGCCGGGTCACATGAAGCGGGACTGTCCACAGTTCAAGGAGCAGCAGCAGGGAAACGGAAACCGCCAGTAGATAGCGGGTCGCTAGCTGGTGTGGAGGTTCCCGTACCCGCCACGTCTACCAACGTAGAGGAGACGGCCTTGCAGCAGTCATCTACGGAGACCTCGGTAGACACTGTTGATCGTCCAGTCGTGCTTCTAGGGAAGCTTCGCGGTGTACCTGTCAAGATCCTAGTAGACAGCGGAGCTAGCCACTCTTTCATTTCTTCGTCGTTAGTTAGTCGTCTCCATCTCGAAGCAGATTCTGCAGTCAACTTCAAGGACGCGCGCATGGTAGATGGGACGCCACTCCACATAGGACCAATCATTCGCAAGTTGCGCGTAGTGCTAGGACCGATCACAGTTAGGCGTGACTTCGACTCTGCGACGCTGGACGGATACGATTTCATCTTCGGGAGAGATTGGCTACGGACGGTTAGCACTCAGTTCGATTGGGCTCAGGGAAGCTGCAGTGTCAAGGTAGACGGGGAGTTCCGGGAGCTGCCACAGTGGAGCGATGGGGCCACATCCTCCACAGCTATCATTAATGCTGTTCGTGTGCGACAGCTGGTGAAGCGAGCGGCACGGATCTTCGCGGTTTTCCTTAAAGACGAGGAAGCTGAGGAGGGGAAAGGAGGGAGTGCAACAGTTAGTGAGAAGGCGACTCTTCCTGCTGAGGTGAGTGCACTGTTAGCAGAGTTCGCAGACGTCTTCCCCGACGAGTTGCCCCCAGGGTTACCTCCCAGCCGAGCAGTAGACCATCGAATAGAGTTGGAGCCGGGGAGCAGGCCAGTAGCGAAGCCGCAGTGGAGGTTGAGTCCAGCAGAGACGGAAGAGATGACGCAGCAGGTTAGGCAATTCCTAGCACAGGGGTTCATTCAGCCATCTAGATCACCTTGGGCCACACCGATCCTGTTCGCGCCTAAGAAAGACGGAGGGTTACGGATGTGCATAGATTACCGCGCACTGAACGCCGCCACCGTCAAGAATAGATTCCCGGTGCCGAGAGTAGAGGATCTTCTCGATGCAGTGCAGGGCGCTAGAGTCTTCTCCAAGATCGACCTTCGTTCGGGTTACCACCAGATTCGCGTAGTTCCAGAGGACCAGCACAAGACGGCGTTTCGTACGAAGCAGGGGTTGTACGAGTTTAGGGTTCTACCGTTCGGTTTGACCAACGCCCCAGCAACGTTCCAGACGCTCATGAACACAGTCCTCTCGGAGTTCCTAGGTTCGTTCGTCGTAGTTTACCTAGACGACATCTTGATATTCTCTAAGTCGAAAGAGGAGCACGTGCAGCACTTGCAAAGGGTCTTCGAGGTCTTGCGGAGGGAGAAGCTGTACGCGAAGCAGTCTAAGTGCGAGTTCTTCCTCCCCGAGGTCGAGTTCCTAGGACACGTCGTATCCGCTAGTGGCGTTAGGACCGACCCGAAGAAGATCGCAGCCGTACAGGATTGGGTGGCACCGACCTCAGTCAAGGAGTTGCAGAGTTTCCTCGGTTTCGCGAACTACTACCGCCGTTTCGTTCAGGGTTACGCTTCCATCGCTAGTCCACTCACCGACCTACTTCGGAAAGGCGTAGAGTACGTTTGGGGTCCAGCACAGCAGCAGGCGTTCGAGCAGATGAAGCAGTCGCTCACGTCTTCACCGACACTGATGTACCCCGATCCCACTCGCCCGTACGTCGTAGTGACCGACGCTTCTGGTCAGGCCATTGGAGCAGTGCTTCTTCAGGACCAGGGACGCGGGTTGCAGCCGATCGCGTACGAGTCGCGTAAGCTGAGGGGAGCGGAGTTGAACTATCCCATACACGACAAGGAGGCGCTCGCGATCATCCATGCGTATAAGGTGTGGAGGTGCTACCTAGAGGGGGCAGATAGTGTTATACGCACGGACCACTGTTCGCTTCGTTTCCTCAAGTCGCAGCCGCAGCTGAGTCGTCGCCAGGCTAGATGGATGGAGTTCATGGAGGGGAGCTTTCATTACAGGATAGAGTACAAGCCAGGCGTGCGCAACCCAGCAGATCCGCTCACTCGCCCTAGTTGCCAGCTCGCTAGTCTCACAGTCACTGCCGGCCATCCACTTCTCACAGCACTCTTCGAGCACGGTTACACAGTAGATCCCGACTTCACACCGCAGCCGCCCGCAGGAGCAGAGGTGCAGGGTAGTGTCTACATACGGAAGGGCACAGCACGGATTTGGGTTCCAGCCTACCGCCCTCTTCGACAGCTCCTTCTCTCAGAGGCACACGACGTAGTTAGTGCAGGGCACTTCGGAGCAGATAAGACGGCTAAGAACCTTAGTCGCACGTACTTCTGGCCAGGGCTTGCAGCAGACGTAGAGGATTACATTCGCTCGTGCGACACGTGTCAGCGTACGAAATCATCCCGCCAGCGCAAAGCAGGACTCTTGCAGCCGATTCCACCGCCCGACCGCCCTTGGCAGGTAGTTACCATGGACTTCATCATGGCTTTACCGCGCACAGTTAGGGGTCACGACGCCATCTTCGTGGTAGTGGATAAGTTTTCTCGAGCAGCGCACTTCATCCCCACGCACGGCCAGGTCACAGCAGAGGAAGCCGCGACGCTGTTCGTAGATAACGTAGTCCGACTGCACGGGGTTCCAGATTCGATCATTTCCGACCGCGACCCTAGATTCACCTCGAAGTTCTGGAAGCAGCTTTTCGCACTGTTTGGGACTCGCTTAGCCATGTCGTCAGCGTACCATCCAGAGACAGACGGACAGACTGAGCGTGTGAACCAGACTTTGGAGCAGATTCTTCGCAGCATCACGATGCACGACGCAGCAGCATGGGACAAGAAGCTGAGCATGGCAGAGTTCGCATACAACAACACGCATCACTCCGCCACAGGCATGTCACCGTTCTTCGCACTGTACGGTCAGCACCCCAATGTCCCCACTCGTGTCGATCTCACACCCACCGTCCCTCGTGCGGACAACTTCCACCAGCATCTCACCTTCATTCACGACCACGTGAGGAAGCACCTTGAGCTTGCAAATGCACGCATGGCACGCACCACCAACCGCAGTCGTCGTGAGGTGTCGTTCGCAGTTGGCGACCGTGTTCTTTTGGACAGCCGCAACCTCCGACTGCCACAGGACGGCAAGCTTCGCCCACGCTTCATTGGTCCATTTGTCATTGAGCGCGCACTTGGTCCAGTCGCATACCGCCTTCGCCTTCCCGCTCATTTCCGCATGCACCCGTCATTCCACGTGTCTCTCCTTCGGCCTTACACCGATCCCAACGCCACCTTCTCGGGCCGTGATCGCACTCCACTGCCGGTAGCTGTTGACACCGACGAGCCCGACTACCAGATCCAGCGCATCCTCAGGCACCGTCGCCGTCTCCAGGGGGGTGTCTCTTTCATCGACTTCTTGGTTCGTTGGCGTGGTTACGATGCAGCCGACGACAGCTGGGTCCCTTCGTCCTCGCTGTCTCCTGACAACGCTTGCCTCAAAGCGTACCTTCAGTCTGCAGGCGCCGCGGAAGTTGCCTTCTTGGGAGGGGGGTAG